CACAGCATTTCAAACTGTAGTGCAAACTGAAATAAAAATACTTCATTCAAACTGTAGGGAAGATAAGACCAGTAACTGATACTCCTAAGAATCATGCAACATTTTATCCTCTTTTCTTTCCCCCTTAATTTGACATCACTTTGCCAGAGCTAAAGATGCTGAAACTGGAGATTTTTAAGAGAACTGCAGTGGAATGTCTTTTAGTGAAGTTAAAAGTTTGCAGCATGTTTTTGTCTTTCCTCTAGTCTTGGTAGATATAGAAACATCTAGGAATAAAGGTGGATTTGTTTACAGGTGAAACACTGCTCCACATGTTCTCCAAACCCTTTGTATTAATCTCTTTCTAGTCAGGTATTTGAACCAGGAACACAGGACTCAGTACAGCCATGCAGCAATGGTCTAGTAATATCATATACAAACATGAAACATTCAAAGAAATCTTTAAAGGGGTTACCTAGGTTGCAGCATATTTTGGTACATCTTCTGGTTTTGATGAGTTAAACTTGTATCAAGTGTACGTAACCTTGGTTAAGTGTCTAATCCTTCTTTTTTGGAGGATAAAAGAAAAACAAAAGCACATCCATCTGGAGCTGGAGGTGGCTTGGGCCAGTTTTCCAACACAGAAGAAGGTACTTGGAGGCAACTACAGTTTGTATCCTCTGCTCTCTCCACCTGTGGGGGCTATGGTCTGCTATCAGTACAAACTGCTCCAGGTTAATTTGGAATAAATAAAACCGACTTGTAGCTTAATGACTGCAGATAAACATATTTTAGAGATTTCTTTAAAGGCATTACAGTAGGAGATGGTTGGCAAGGAACAGCCTGAGTAAGTGCAAGCTGCTCCCAGTGTGGTGGTTCACACTGTAACCATAATATGGGGTGAAAAATTACCTGTGCCAGGCAATTGGGTATCCTGAGTACCTGCTCTGGCAGTCATTAAAGGCAAGAGAATTCTTTCTAATTCTTGATTATTATGCTCATTACATCACCCAAAATTACTTCAAAGGTCCAAAACTGCATTCTGGCGGGAAGCATATCTTCCTTCAATACCCAATTAATTTAAGTCCAATTTTCTGTCTTTCCTTTGCATGTTCTACACTGACCCCTATGCTTTCACTTCTGTGTCTCACTACTCTTTACTATGTAGCTCTCTTTATTCAAGATATTCTAAAAAAAATTAAATAAATCACATATCTTGCAAAGCTAACACGAAGCAAGATTGTATTCTTCAACATTGAGTGATTTCTCAGTCCAGAGCTCATGAATCCATTTTGAATTATATTTTCTTCCCTCCACAAGACTTATTATATTCAGCTCATTTAATTAAAATTTACTGAGCCATTATCCAAATCTTCTACATACTGAAAATGCAGCCTCATTTAAAAATAAATTAAGAATACAAGCAACAGAGCCATCAAAATGAAAATCTTTCAGGCTTTACTAAAGCAATGTGGTCAGTACTTTCAGCAAAACCTAAGTTCTCTTAGAACAAAATGCTACCGACACACTGAAGTAACGAAGTAGTTGGGCTTCATTTTTATTACTGAAATGAGAATTTTCTTAAATCATACCAATTCTATCCATGTTGCTGCATCTTACGTGACATTTTCATGTTTACAGCTGATATTAAAGACCAGTTCCACCCTCACGCTAATCTATGGTTGGCCTCTCTGCCTTCCAGAAAGCCTTCCCAGCTTAGGTACAGTCCAAATGAGTGCGGTCTAACCCTGGTATCTATACCAGAGCATGGTATAGATACTCCACACTGGTGAGTGTGCTGGCACATCCTCAGAAGATGGCATGCTCCAACATTTGGGTACGTTTACATGAAAACCAAAATATTACATTGTCCTCCTTCACTACCAACACTGAATAACTCTACTATACCACACACAGACCTACCAAAATCAACAAGAATATGGTTTTAACTACCCAAGGGCAGTTTTGGGTAACTACACATGCATTTGCATTTACCCACATGGGATACAGTGCAAGAGTTGTTCCCTTGCAGGAACTGACTTATGGATACAGAAAACTTTCTGCACTCTTTGAAGACTGTGACTTCCCTCTTGCTCTTTTCCAGCAAATGGCAATTGTCAGGGAGAGGACCGTCAGTCTCCATCTCACACTCAGTCTCTGTCTGTCTCTCCTAAGGAGCGCTCTGTGAGCCTGAACCCTACTGTAGGTCTGAGCTCCAGATGTAATCTGCTCATTCTGCCTCCTCTATCTCTCCTCGGTAAGGAGTGTGCTGGACCTCTGCAGCCAGCATTACCCCTTTGGGGAACTTCATGCCTCCCCTTTTCTGCAATTAAAAAAGACACCCCCCCAACAGACTTCTCCATTAGAATTGCAGTTAATGGTTGAAAAATGTACTGCTAATTGGAAACACTTTCCCGAATTGCAAGAATCGTAGAACTGCAAGAAATTCATGAATTGCAATTATTCATAGCAGACAGTAATGAACTCTAGTGCTTTCTGCAAAGAATTGCATTTCTGCTTTCCTCTGAAGGCGAGCGTACTTCATTTAGATTAATTCAGGATTACTGGCTTATTATTATGTTTCCTCAGTAAGCCATTTACAGTGGGCTGCCAAAAATATAACAGGAGGCACTTTGGGCTATATTTTGGAAATACCTGCACTTTGCAGAACTAAAAGCCATAATTTCTGTTCATAAATCTAAGCAGGCAGCATCATGTATGCTCAATACACTTTCAGAAATTGAACATTGCTTTCTTTAGCCCAGTACCATCAGCACAAATAAAATTGGCGGGTACTGCTTTTGAAGGTCAATCCAAAGCAACCATTAAGACCAGATCTGATGCTGGTGCAAACAGATCGCTCACAAAGCAATGCAGAAGTGGTGGCTGGAACGCTCCTCTCTTGGACATGTGTGGAGCCTTGCAAGGTCCAGGAATGGCTGGCAGCTTTGAATACCATGAACTGAACCCACACATGTTATGTGAAGGCTGATGACAAGCAGCTTCAACACAAGACAGGAACGGGAAGGAAACCATTCCTCCTGCCTTCCTTTTTATGGAAATGGTATGGGGACAAAACCTAGGGATTTTCCTAAACGGAGAATAGCAAGTGCTATCTATTTATGTACATGCTTTACAAAAGTGACCATAAAAATAAGAACAAGTGAAAATCATCAAAAAGCAACAGGTTTCATATGAGTTTTAGATATCATTGTGGCCCTGCGTTATTTAGCAATGTGATACTATGTCATTACAGATGCTGGGAGGTTTCACATAGAAAGAAAGACCAACCAGTGTTATTTTGAATGAGATTTTGCTTGCTTGCAGGCAAGCCAGCAGAGCCTGCGGTACTGTGTCAAGCTCTATAATGACAGATGCCTCATCTTCTGCCAAATTGTTACATTTGACAACACTTAACACTTAACACATGAAAACTATCGTGTTCCCTGTGAAGAAAGAGCCAGAGCAACACAGACCAAGATGACAGAAAGTGCCCAAACCTTCTGGGTACTAGGAGAGATCTCTGGCTTTACAGTGGAGCAAATAATGGTCTTGACCACAGCCTCTGAAAGTTTTGATCTGCTTGGTAGCATCTTCTGCATTTAGATATTTCAAGACAAAACCACACTACAGTGTGCTGTTTTACAGGAATAGGACTAGAAAAATATCACCTTGTTAAAAAATAGCTTCCTGATGATAGGCTAAGCTTTGTACAACCTAACACCAAGTCCTAGAGGGGCAGGGATACATTCATGAAATCACAGCACACTGCCATGGCAATCGTTCTTCAAAAACAAAGCATTCAGCTTCCTCAGTCTCACGTCTGGACTTTTGGACACTTCACTGATGTCATTGGCCCTGAATTATCCTGCTAAGTACAGGGTGATACCAGAGCACTGTAAGAGGATTGCTCGCACTCATCTTGTCCTCACTGCTCCCAGGCAAACACGGTGACTTTCTGCAGCTGTTGCTGTGACTACACCTGCATCTAACTCTGCTGCTCCAGCAAGCAGCTACAGAAAGGCTGACCGCAGGGCAGACTGAACTCCCAAATAGTTATTCTGCTCCTCTGAGTTTTTACAGCCTGTACCAAGCGCTGGAGTGCTGAGGCTGGAATGTCCCAAGTACCAAATTGCCTAAATCAGATGTGTAACTATTGTAACCTTTCATCCAAGGAGTTTTCTTCCTGTCCCAGTTCACTACCTGAAACTCTCAGTTTATGGAAATACTGAAATGTAAAAGAGAAAGCTTGAAAAGGCAGTAAACCCCAATACTGGAGAGATGTAAAGCAAATGGCTGCTCCAGGTACACTCCTGTATCGTTTGATTTTACAATTTAATCAGTAACTTGTGCAATTTTACTTTACGACTAATTCAATAATGCTTTAACGGTTATTGCTGGAAAAGATGTTTACATGTTGTTGGAAGTCAATAGCTAAGTATATAGGTGAATCACAAAATCTCCACTGAGAATTACTAACACCAAAACACATTCACTGCCATGTAAACAGTAAAGCAATGGCAACATTTGCTATCATTGGCAGATAAAGTTCATGGTTGCTTGAAAAGAACCTGAATGTGTATTTTCATTTTCTTCTCCTGCTTACATCTGCTATCCTAGACCTCCCAATTATTAACTTTCTCCTTTCCCCTCAGCCATATTGTTGCTATGGCTGTAACATGCCTCATCTGCCTTCTTACTGGCATTTTCAGAGTATTTTGTTGACGGCTTTTATTACTGTTTTATAGGCTCTGCCTTTCCAGTTTTCTGTCAGTACCTGGTTTTCTCTAAATCAGGCTGAACTCTACATTAAACTGAAAATAAATTCTGGCTTTTGACCTTAAAGAAAGCAATAGGCATGTACTCTCAAGTGCTCAGACACAGTGACAATTACAGAACAACCAAAAAACACACCCAGCTAGACAGACTTCAGAGACACTTTACAACTATTGGGATCTACAGTTGACACTACTGCATAAAGAGATATAAACAAGCTTTTTGTAAGATTAAAATAAATAAACCAATGTAACTTGATACCTTTCATTTTCGTGTAGCTGCTCACCTCCCTTCTTCCAGGAACATTTGGCCTGAGGGGAAGCTTTGGGTTTGCATTCAAAATCTACTGTGCTGCCTATTTGAACCTGGATCAGTTTCTTCATTGGATTCTTCGAAAAATCTGGAGCAGAAGCTAAAACAGAAGGGATAGTAATAGTGGAATAAAGGACCTGAGGACCCGTAATTATCTTCATGATACCACTTAACATGACACTTCTCAGATTCCAAATATAATTAAAGCCATGAATGAGTTAGTTCAACTGGATCTCTATTGGACAATTATGCATTTCTCTTCTTATGCTGGTACCAAAGATCTCAGCTGTGCAGAGTACATCATCAAACGAAGCATGCCTAGAAGATGATGCTGACTCCATCTGAGATGAAACTCACTGAACCCAGCGAGCGTCAGGCAGATGCCTAACTTTATGCTTTGCTGAATGTGAGCGTACATGACTTGTCTAAGTCCAGGGAGGGCAGTCAACACCAGCACTCTCATTAAAGCTTCTAGTTGGCTTCTAGTTTCATGTGAGAATGGATGTCAGATCAGATATATTAGATGACATAAAATTACAGCGCAGCTCATTCTGTGTGGGTATAGTTTTCATTAACTAACAGCTTAAAAAGTGCATGGATTCTACTCATACTAACATTGAACTTCAAAAGGAAATTCAGTATTTTAGGAGACCAAGGCTGAGGGAGCAGTCTGCTGATCAACTGTAACCTCAACAACAGAAAGGCAATAACTCAGGTCCCCAAAACACACTGCTCTCACAGGCTTAGTTTTGAAATCAGTCTATGCTGGAGGCAGAAATTGCATATGAGCACATAAGTCAGCCACAAGGTCAGCATTTCCGTCAAACAAATGGTTGTCACTATTTTAGTCAAGCAGACACCGTTTGAACGACTGAATGACAATCCCCTGTCCCCTCAATCAGGAAAGGCTGCACGCAAGAGCAGGCTATTGCTCTGAAATGGCATGGCTCCCCGGGGAGCAGGTGAGTGCAGCCGACTGATGGCTGAGCCAGCGCTGCCTCCAGACCGCGTGAACCCTTTTAATCTTCAGGCCTGCATCCAAGCCCCCATCTCTGCTTTTCCCCTAATTAATAATTTAGCTGTGTTCTGTTTTAAAGCAATGAGTGATTGGACTGCAAATCCTTTGGAAGCAGATGAGTCAACTACTCGGCACTGCAGATAAAGATATTAGGTCGACAAAAATGTTTATTTCAGTGATGGCATCCGAGTGAGTTAAATTTGAGATCATGACGAGGGTGTGTGGAGAGGGAGAATGAGGTTCATGTTTTAGTGAAAAAAGAAAACCTTACCTACAACCCTGAGCTCTGCACTCGAATAGATGACACCATGTTTATTTTCAGCTATGCACTGGTATCTGCCAGAGTCTGTCAGATTTAGATTTGATATTGTAAGTGCACCATTTTCAATTTGGATCCTTCCCTGAATATTAAGAAAAATACCTTTATTGATGATATATTTCCTGTGAAAAATTTAAAATAAGTAAGAAATAGAAATAGGACAGCATAAATACAAAAAATGAGGTAAATGTAACAGCATAATCATGAGAACAGTTCTAAAATAAGTGACATGACCACATCATGGTGATCTGCAACAGTGATCAAATATGGAGACCTGTCAACACAGTGTAGGAAATAAATTCTTCAAAATTGCACAGTTTCACAGAGGCTTTGTAATCTCAAACACCCTCTATTTCCCCAGAAATACAGACAAAGTCATAATAGGCTTCTCATGACAGACCAGAGTATCCAAACTATACAGATGGCACTGGCATTTCATACTATTTCGAGATTTCACACATGCCATTTCCTAATGAGCTCTCTGTAATACTACACAGAAAAAGTTCCAAGAGTCACGAAATGGAAAATACATATTTAAGTGTCCTAGAGCTGACAAAGCTACTGCAGTGCAGGGATCTTGCCTATTCTTGGAAAGCTATGTGAATTCTCATAAGAAATGACTAATTTGAGGATGAAGCAGCAGGAACTGGAGAAAAAAGTAACCAAGGACAAAGACAAAACCAAAGGAGCTTCTTCTTTGGGAAATACCAAAGGAACAATAAAGGATTAAAGAACCAACTATTTGTTCATAACCATTTTCTGGGGTTTTTTTGAGAAGTACCTAACAAATGATCTGGACGTGGCTCAGCAGCCTTTTCTTAAGGGCATGTACTTAGAGCTGGCCCCACTGCAGGGTGACTCCAGCTGTCTCTGGGCAGCCAGGACAGCTCAGCTCAGCTCCTTCCTTCACAGGTCCCTTCCCAGTTCATTGCAAGGTGCTCGGCCAGTCAGACAAAGCACAAAGTCCCAAAAAAGAACAAGTCTAAGTCTCCATGTCTTCATCCTCTCTCTAGCAGCCCAAGGCTGCTGCTCTCACTCTTCCTAACAAAAGATTTGTTTCTGGAGAAGGGAGCTAAGTGGAACTACCCCAGCAGATTCTTGTGGAGGAGACTCAGCTTGAGGAATTATTGCAGTACCGGAGCAGAATGCAACTGATCACGATATAGAGAGAACTCCTGCTGTCTGCTCAGTGCTGGCTTTCCAAGAGTCAGTCCTATAGTTTGCAGCCCTTAAATGTTTCCAGAGTAAGTCACGCTCATGCCCTTACACCCTGCCAAAAGGCTGAACACTAGTGCTCAAAAGTGGAGAAATGGGAAGACTGAATAGGAGAAGGTATTTTTATACTTACTGAAGTAAAAAAGCACATTACCTTAGTGACATTGTGTGATATGGTAACAATGCTCTTAAATCACTGAGATGAGATTTTGTACTCCCTCACTTAACCTGTCCACAAAACACTGCCATTCCTTTTAGTGAGCCTATAACTATAGCACTTTGAATGGTAAGAAATGTTTTTCAGTGCTTAGATCATTTTTCACAGCAACCCACTGAATTCACTTGAGCAGTCACTCTTTCTTCTTCAACTGTGAGCGTCAAAGTTGAGCACAACACATCAGCCAAGGGCAAAACACCTTCCTGCAATGGGGTAGTGCCCATAGTTCATATTTCCGAATACCTGAACTGGGCATTTTTCCCAATGAAGTAGTGAGAATTAAAATCAATATGGGTATCAGCTGCTTTTCTGCATTTCTGATCTGGGAGACCAAGCATCTCACTTAGTACTAAGTACTTAGAAGTACAACCACCCTGTCACCAAATGCACTACTTTTCATTAATTTAACAATAGTATTAAAGCCAACACTTATGTTACATTGCTGTTTTTATTTCACTCTTTACATCAAGTAATGGTGTTCTAGACTTTTTTAAGACTTTTGTCTTTCTTTCTTAAGAAGTTTGAAAATGTTTTCTTATTACCTTTAATGAAATACCAACGGCAAGTACAACAAAACCATTTTAAGTTCTCTCTCTCTCATTTATGGTTGTTAATGTGTAGCTTTAACTTTCTACTCCAGTCTTTCCTTATATACTTTTTGTACGGTTCTATCATTGCTTTTTAATTTCCTTTTAGCTGGGACATTTTTGTGCAACATAATTTGTCCTTGTGTTTCTGGCATTGCAGCTCTTGAAGTTTCCATCTGGATGCTCTTGACAAACATACGAAAAACAGTGTCAAATATTTCTAATGACTGATTACATGGACTTCTGCAAACTGTCCTGGTTATATGAAGTACTGTTAATTTTACTTTGCATAATGTTTTTCAAAACAGAATGTTACCTCTATTGACAGCTGGTCTCCATTCTTCAGCCACCTATACGATGGTTTGGGCTTTCCACTTGCTCTGCAATCCCAGTATAATGTGTCCTCTACAGGAACTTCAATATCTTTTATCATCTGGATCCAGTGAGGTTTTGCTGCAGATGAAATACACATCAATAACAAAGAACCTGACGCATTATTGGAGAATCAAAGGGTTAATTTGCACAGCGCCAATCTGGGGACTGGTTTGTACCAGCAGAGATTCTCACTGGTTCTGCTTCAGGTCACCTAATGAAATAAATTAGTCACACTTCCTTTTATACATTTTCATTACAAGCAGTAAACCGAAAGAAAATTGAGATCACAGATCACCAAAGCTGAACTAGTGAAACCAGTATGAAAATCAGTAATGATTAAACAAAAAAATTTTGAAATTGAGGTAAATAAAAGATAAAGATATTGGTGTTGATGCTAGGATTAAATAATTGGTGTAGCTAATCATCAAATTAATACCAAAGATAATTTTTTATGTCCTAAAAAAATGTAATGGTATGTCAGCTTTCATTCTAAATACCATTTGAATTGTTTTCTAATGCTAGCCAGTAATTAACTGAATGAACACATGGATATATGAGAATGCTTTTGAAAGCAATAGTCTTAGCACAGCATTTGGATGATGCAAACCAGAATACAGCCTTAAGAATGTCCATAAAAATAACTAGTTTTTGAACAAAATTTTGGTCTATTAGTACCATACATCCTTCAGAATTATCTAAAATACAATTAAAACTGTAAAGACAGAGTTTAAAACATCTGTTACAGCTTTCATTGGGTAAAAAGAAAAGCTTACTTGGCAAATAAACATCGCTGCATGAAAGACAACAGTAGTTTATCCCTGAGTGCTATTTCACACAGCAGCTCAACAATGTTTTATAGCTAATTCATGGGAATTTTCTTTGAATCTGTTCAATTTACTAGAGAGTTTATAATCGCAATATATGCTATTACTGCAAGAAATAAATTCTGGACACTGAATATGAAGAAACAGATTAAAAGTAGGATGAAACTTGATTGCAAATATATAGCTAAGGGCAAAAGAATTTTCCAGGGTCAATTTGATTACCTTAAAGATTTTCCTAAACTGATAATTTAGGAAACTCTTATAACACTCTCATATCAAAACAACTAGGGAATAAAAGAGTCCTTGAAGATACAGGAAAATATCACTATTTAACAGATAACTTTCCGAAGCACAGAAGTTCAGAACAATTCCTGTTGAACTTCCTACGATGATGAGCTTACACCAGAAATTAATTCAGACCAGGGAAATGAATGACTTGCCTGCAGCCACAAGGGAAGGCTGCAGGGCAGCTGAGAGCTGAACCGGTTCCATTGCCACAGGCACAGGACCAGCAGACCAACGTTTCGATGAGGGTTGGTATTCATTTTATTTAAAAAGATTAGTTCTTTTTTCTAGCATACACATTTTCTCTCCATTATATATTCTGCAGGAATAACCTGATCTTCATGTCAGACAAATGTACTGTCTTACCAATATTAATTTTGTTTAAAGCTTGAAAGTTAATGTTACAACACTGGAGTTCAAGGAAGAGCCATGGCTTTATCTCACATTGTCACTTGGCGTATTTGTCCCACATGTGTCAAGGGGATGAAAGCTCAGGACTCCATGTCTGCGTTCTTCCTGCACTTTGCATACCTAAATATTTATGCAACAAGCAACAGCGCTTGAATTATTGATGAATCCATACATGTGCAATATTTCACATCAGCTGCATATCTTCACTGCAAAGTAGGTTAAATACAGTCTATGTTCAAGTTAAAGATCTTGGATCCAACAGCATTATTAAGAAATACATTGTCTACATCAGAAATCTTAATTTTCAGACTCTTCAAGTCAGATTCTCCATAGGAGGGTTTCCCCAATTCTCCACAGTAGACATGACAAACTGGGACTTTTTGGAAAGTTTGAGAGCAAGACAACCAGTCAAAACAGAAAGGAACAGAAAAAAATCCTCTTCAATTTGCCACACCTCAAGGTCTTTAAAAGTGGCTGTAAAAGCATTAGAAACTCTTTGAAAAAGAATAATTCAACTAAACAGTTCAAAGTTGTGAAAAGAGCTATACAGGGGCAATTCCAGCTGGGAACAGTCCACTGAATATTGAGTCTTGTCAAGGGTAGAGATGTCCACACTGCAGCAGCTGAGAAAAGTGCAGACAGAAGGTCATGTATCAGTAGATCTACATATCCTTCCAAATGACTTTCCAAGCTCAACACCGCCCCTTTTGATTGAGCTCTGCCTGACTGTACCTAAATGACTCTGAATAAACAGCTTTATTCCTCTTGTGGTTCTGCTCCCCAGAAATTTGTATTGTGTGATTAATATTAAGGATTCTTAGTTACTTGCTGTGCAATCTTCATGAAAGTTTCATATGAAGTTCCCTTAGGACAAAGTAGTTGTAGGTAACTGATTTTCTAAAGTAGGTTAGCCATCAGCCTTGTGGTCAGTCACTCAGAAAAGCGCCAGACTCTATTTTGCTTCAGCTGCTTTTGCCTAAAGTATTTCTTGCCATACTCATGGTCCCACGGGCAAGCAGTGATACAAGTGTGTAACTTCATAAAATACACTCCAGTGAGAAGACGGTCATCTTTTCTTGGTGGCCACGATAATCCTTTTCTTCTGGCTAATTAGTCCAGGCAGGTCTTTCTGAAGAAATCAATTGTTGCTTCGCTGCACTAGTCTAGGGCATCATCCCTGCAGGCCCTTGGAAAAACAAGACCCTTTTTTTAGATGTTTAAGAAACCCTTTGCGATGACTGTTCCGGACTTTGATGCAAATGAAGACCTACTGCAATGAGTGACTGCAACAAAGCTCTTTGAATCAATGGCTGAAGACACTTTTCAAAAGCTGTGTTGAGATCAAATTTGTAAATAATTTTTGAGGTACCATACATGATGCGTGTCAACACTTATTTTCATATATTCATACTCCTTCAGACTAGGAGACTCCAATAAGGATCTCTAATTCTGTAAGCCATTGGAATAGCATGAAGGAAAGTCAGAGCTTCAGGCCCATGACTTGCGAAAGCACCACACTCTACAGAGACCTCAGTAAGATCTGGAGTGCCTCTGCTTGGAGGCAGATGACTACAGGAAGCTCCTCCAGAACAGTCCCTAATTGGGGCTCGCTCATAAGATGCAGTTTGCTTAATACACATATCTTTATTTTGAAATTGTCAGTCTGAAAGCTGGGCTGGAAATCTCCTTTGAAAATACCTTTTTCAAATAGCTCAGCAGTTGGGGAATAAATCAAGAGTCAAAAGGAACTTTCCATAGTTCATGAGAAAGCTGCTATGAAGTACACTGGGAAAAAAACAACAACTAGAAAATGTAATCATCATTTTTCTGACTAGTGTATCTGAAAGTCAAGCTATGACACTCATACTGATGCCTACAGCAGTGATGAACCTTATTTTCTTCCCCTCAGTTCAAGACAGGGAATTGCTTGAAAGAGTCCAGTGCAGAGCCACAAAGTGATGGAGGGAGTGGAGCATCTCCTGCTGAGGAGCGGCTGAGGGAGCTGAGTCTCTTCAGCTTGGAGCAGAGGAGACTGAGGGGTGCCCTCATTCATGGGGATCAATTTGTAAAGGGTGAGTGTCAGGAGGAAGGAGCCAGGCTCTGCTCTGTGACGTCCAATGCCAGGACAAGGGGCAATGGGAGCAAGCTGGAGCATAGGAGGTTCAAGCTGAACATGAGGAAAAACTTTGTCAGTGTGAGGGTGCCAGAGCATGGCCCAGGCTGCCCAGAGATGTTGTGGAGTCTCCTTCTCTGCAGACATTCAAAACCCACCTGGACGTGTTCCTGTGTGACCTGGTCTGGTGATCCTGCTCTGGCAGGGGGCTTGGACTGGATGATCTTTCGAGGTCCCTTCCAACTCCTAACATTCTGTGATTCTTTCACAACTCCAAGTGATTCTGAGCATGAATATCTTTTTCTGGTAAAAGAACTGAACCTAGAGAAGGACCTAACACATCCTTGAAGATGTCCATTATTTGACTTCCACTAAAAATTAAAAATGGTCTCAAGTAACAGGTAATTGATGTGTCTTTGGGGAAAGTTTTAGTACGTAAAAAAGATGAACAGTTTGTCTCTGTAGCAAGGCAATTAAATTATTAGACAGCATCAACAATTAAACTCTGCAACATCTTGGTATTATTTAGTCATTTATAGTTTTGTAGTTCATGCTTTGAAGAAATCTCCATGAACAAGATAGAGTCAGGCTATCACACAAAAGCTTTAAACAGTGAGGCTCTTCCCTATTCATAAATACTGTAGTTTCAGCATCGTTTTGGTAGTATAGTATTACCAAAGTAATTAACAAAATATACTAACATTTTTTTGCTATACTAAAAAATTATGTAGAGTCTAGGTAAAACAGGGAAGAGGTGTTCACCTTTGCTATCACAGACCACCACTGCAGAGCAATAGGCAAACAGCAGCAGATTTGTTTCTCCCTATTAAACATTTTACCCTGGTACTGTCAAGCATGGGCTCCATTCAATCAGCATGTGCTAATTAAGAATATATTTTCTTCAATTATACTTTAAATTAATAGCTTTATGTATCTCTACCATGTTACATTTTAATTGCATCTTAAAATACATAAATGTAATTGTTTCATCTCTTCTCATTTTTCTATGCCATGAAACGTTTCCATGGATTCTTTCTTCTTCTATTATCTCTTTATGGAAAGGGCTGATAGCGATGCCAAATGAATATACCAACAAGTGAAAGCAAATTATTTATATATTCAAGTTTTTTATTAAATCAAAGTTAGATAATCTTGTCCTATTTTTAGCATTCTCTGAACTCCCCTAAGGAGAAAAATAGAATTAAACAAATGTTGGAACTGTACAAAGGACAAAACCTGAACAATTTGAAGTTGAGCTCTTCTTGATAAAATTCTTCATGAGAAAAAAAGGAAGATTGATAGTCTGTTAGTAACGTTATGAAAGAACCCAAAAAATCTGTTTTAGAGTATCTATTTTGATTATTGACTTCAACTATAGGTTGAGACTTAGATTTAAAACCCACAATGAAATCAGAAAAAACAGACACATTTTCTTTTTCATAAGGAGAGTTACAGATGTGCACAGAATTTCTGAACCAACTTTACAGGCATTCTTGAGGAAATTACTACGGATATAATTAAAGTTGAGCCAAAATTTCAAGCACTTGCTTAGTGGTTTTAAGACTGTAATTCATTATTGGAAGAAGAGGCAATATAGGACAGAAAACATAGCTGTTTGGGTTTTTTTTGTCAAACTATTTATGCACTGAAAAACCCAATTTTCAGAATTCAAACTTTACCATTTCAGATCACATAACAAATCAGGAGAAAAAGAGTGTTTCGCTTCACAGCAGAGCAAGGACATGTTTCAAGTTGTTTTTAAGGACGAGCTTTATGTTTCTTTTACAAAGAATCTTTTAACGTCTGCAAAGAAATAAAACCTATTTTTCGCTGAAATGGAAAATTTTCGTCTATTTTTTTTCCCTGAAGATATTGATTTTTCACATTATTTCACCAAGAAAACTTGTAAAACGTTAACCCCAATTTTTCTTATACTCTTTCTTGAGTAAGCCAGAAATGTGTTTTGTTCTTTTGAGGAGAGGAAAACGTATGTTTTCACTGTTGAAATAAAAAGGAGTTTGTCCATTTGTAATGCATACATTTTTCTATATATGATTAGCAGACACGTCTTAAACTGCTACCGATAAAATGTTTTAACAGCAGCCAACATCCACTAACATTACCACACAGACTTGAGTCATATTTGCCAGAGCTGGCACTTTCTGGCAGATGGCTGTTTCTAAGCCTTCAGTACATTGCATTATAAAAAATCCTCATCTGCTTTTAGAATAACTTCCATAAATGTTGATCTTTTAATGGAAGACTGAGTGGCATATGGTTAGATTTCTTTACCAGACAGATTTCTGAGCTCTGATATCAGATGCAGTGGCAAGCCATCAGATATTATCATCGGTTACAGAACATCATTAATCTATAAACAGAATTAAAATCTTTCAAATTATCAAGAAGTGTTAAAGAGATCCTACTCTGAACAGACTTGTTGGCATGTCTACTGGTGACAACAAAGCAAGGAACAAAATAAGAAAGATTACTTAAATCTACTTAATTCTGCAGAATGGGTTTCATTAAGCAGAACAAATTAAATGAAACAGTTGGAGTGCCATTAATGCCATTACAGGTCTAATTATTCTTTTTAGGATAAACATCCATATTAGAGATGAATCTAATATGGACAGACATTTATATGGGAATATGAACTCTATTTGAGGGTTCAAATCCCTTTCTGGATTTGCAATTAAAGTGTTCACAGTGATTTGCTTGTCACAAAAGTGCATCTTGCTTGCCTTTATTGATTAGCAACATCCTTAATTTCAGCTCTGTGTCCTTTAATGAGCAAAGCAAAACTTGAGAAGCGGGTCAAATATCTCAAGATTGCACACTGTTGTAATTACATTACAAGGACTACTGAACAAATGTACTCTCTTTTGTGTGTAGTTTACACTGATGCGTTTTACACAACTGTCCTGATTTAAAACTGAGCCAAATTAACCACAACTTGTTTGACACTATTAAAAGACACTTTATAAAATCAGTTGGGCAGTACCAAGTTTGGAATTACAGATGACACTGGCAGATAAAGCATCTTAGATTCTTCCCCTATGTTATTCATAGGATTTCTCAAAAAGTCCTAACTACAACTAGCATATGGAAAATTCAGGTTGCTCAAAGTCCTCGGTCCAACCTAACCTCGAACATTTCCAATGATGGGGCACTGATTCAGTGTAACTGTTAATTTGGAAGTTGAGGTGAAGAAATATTTTCCTTCTTATAAAAATCTCTTGTGCTTTAAATTAAAATGTTCAGTGCAAATTCAATATCTACATTGCAGCACTCTGTTTTAGTAAACAGCAGCTTCCCATACAGAAGTAGCAAATGGAAAGAATGTTTCCTCCAAGTTGCACAGTAGCTGCACTCTACGCTTTTATACAACTTTAGAAAAAAACCCCTTTGCTCAAATATTCCTACATGAGGAATAGTACTGTGCGTGTCTGAAACACACTTTAAATTGCTATTTACCTAAAGAAAATTATATTTGCTGAGATCTGACTTTAACAAAAATTGTCAATTACCACTTTGTTGCAAATCACTCTAGCTTTAAACCACCACCAATGTGCTTTGCTGATACTCATTTCAGTCTATAGCCTTAAATTCACAAGAGACTCTGTCTGTTTTCCAGCTATTAAATTTCATATTATTTCATTTCCTATACTAGATTATATTCTCTCATTTATTTACTCATTTTAAAATAAAATTGGCTGTTTTGAAAGCAAAGGATTGACAATATCCATCAGTAATCTTTTCCTAAAGCGAGATAAAATTTGCATTTCCTGTACATGTGGGGCCAAAATGACCCCCCCCAAATAAATCCAACTGACTGAAAATCTAAGCTTTCACCAATGGACCAATAAGAAGTGTTTAAAAAAAAAAGTCTTTCCATCGAACAAAAATAAGCACAAGCACTTTCTACACTACTCTTAGCAACCCTTGAGAGTCCAAACGTTTATCAGAAATGTAATGCAAAAACCTGGTGCAGAAGTTCTCATTCTCTGCAAGTAGTTAATAAGTCAGAGTTTTAAGCACAAATGCTTGATGGTATTGCGAAAGCCGTAAACCCCAAAGTGCCCTTGAGCAGTTCGTACTTCAAGAAGGGTGGGAGAGAGAAAGTTTCCTACCATAGTAAGTGAGACGTCCTCTTGCAATGTTTTTTCCTCTTGAGTTTTCAGTAATACATTCATATAACCCTGCATCCTCCTGCTGGAAATTAGGTATTTCAATCATGCCATTGGATTTCCTCAGCTTTATTTTACTTGGAAATGGCAGACCATCAGTTCTTCTCCAGTTAATCTGAGGCACAGGGCTAAAAAGAAAATAGTGGAATTTTAAACAGCTTTGTTTAAAGTACTTGATTGTCAAAACTAGATACTTAAACTAGCATATAATAGAACTCAGAGGTGACTAAAAGCTTGCTTGAAAAGTGGTATTTATAACACAGATGGCCAGACACTATAGCAACTGATTTGCATGTCCTGTTCTGTTTCATATGCTATTATCTGTGCTACCGAATTTTTCATTAAAATCTGTGTGAATGTCCAAGTACTGTAAAATTTCTTGTAAATTGGTACTGGCCTCCTTTGAAGCAGAATGAGATGTACCAGTGACTTCCATTGAAGGAGAGTCAAGGCAACTCTTGAAATTCCTATCCTAGAACAGACATCCATTCTCTGAATTTAAGACTTTCACTCACCTAGCCAGAGAACCAAAGCAATAGCAAGTGATTAAGTTATCAATCTCACACTTAAAATTATAAACACCTGACAAAGCTGTCTGCAAATAAACCACAAAGTGGTAAGTAAATACATTTATAGAAACATAAATGCTTTCTCACATCATCTGTGAAAGAGAAAAGGTATCAATTGTGTGTGAAATATCATTCAGAAGATGAATGCATTTTAATCTTTATTTCAGCCATAAAGGAGGAACAATATTATGAAAGCATCAAGTACATATAACAGTAAAATTCAGAAAAAATTCTTGCTGACTTCAACAGTTCCTTCTACACTGAGAAAGCAGAGCTAGGTCAAAGGATATATGCAAAACTACACTGATCTAATTCACGCCAATTTGACATGATCTGTAAATTCTTATGTTGACAACATATACATTTTAACTCTAAACAAATCCAAAAATTACTCCAAACATCTTTGCTCTCTTATTCCACAGCAATATTTGTGATGATCAAAATAGGGTCTTTAGAAAATATTGCCAAAATGACTGCCAGAACTTCACATCTCTTGTGCAGATGAGCCTTAATGTGCTTCAACTTTCAGCACAGGTGAAGTAAAAAACTTACTTTCCTAATGCAAAGCACTCGAGCTTCACAGTTGAGCCTTTAGCTGCAGGAAGCGTCTCAGGAAACTGAACTTCTATTTTGGGTTCATATTCTCCCATAACACCTATGTGAGACAATCAAAAAAGGCAACTTTTAATTTTTAAAGCCTTTTTTCTCTCTTTAACATTACATTACATTAAATTCAAAATAGAGTTTATTTCTCTAGCACTCCATTTAGAAAGAGAAGCATAGGGACCTGCCAGTGAAATCACTGTCAGATGTAGGAGAGGAACAGGAGCACACAACACAAGTTTATCTTCTTATAAAGCAATTGGTATTCTGAGAATGCATGAAAGGTTACACTGTAGGAGGCAGAAACGTTCACTGGTGATTAGAAGCATTAGTTATTAATGGTACAGAAAAGAAGCCATACCATCCGTGCGCAGCACTAGGGGAGTTGGCGACCCAAGGACCTGGCTGTTGGTCACCGTGCTGGTTACAACGCAGGTGTAATTTCCTACATCCGATGGCTCGACTTTGGCGATGTAGAGGTGACCGGTCTCCTGAGACACAAACCGACGACTGTCCTCTTGTACAAATGATGGATATTCATTGAAGATCCAAGCGAACGACAATTCTAGTTGGTAATAAAAAAGAAATAAAGGTGTTTGGTATCGCTCTTCACGTTTTTTTTCTTCAAATAACAGTTTATTACTGTACTGTATTTTCAATACTGTATTACATACAATACCGTATTAGGTAACAAACAGGACCAGCAAGCCAATGATAGAGGAAAATAAATTTCTTAAAGTACCGGAAGCAAGCAAAACCAAAAAAGGCAAAACTAACCATCTTTTCACCAAAGCCATTATCACCTCCAGCAGAAGAAAAAGGTGAAAGGAATTCAAGGAAAGGATATTTTTTTATTTTTGTTTAAGACTTACTATGCATGGGAAGAGGATCAGACAGGAAAAATGAAACCAAACTTTGCTAAAATAGAAATATTATTCATTTAGTAGCTACCTAACAACTCGGACACTTAGCAGATAGAAGCAGTACAGGTGCATGCAAGTGAAAAGAATGTCAAAAGCAGCATAAATTCCCATTAGAGTTCAAAGCTAGTTTTTTCACAGAAAAATCCATAAAAATTCCATTAAAAAATCTCTGTATGAAATGGCAAAGTAGCCCTCACTACCATTCATTATGGTCACTTGAAAGGAAAGCCACACTTCAAAAGATAAACTAAGAGATTTGGCAAAAAGTGCAGTATAATTTGTTGTTTTCTGAACACGACTCCGAGCTCCGCGTGTCCAATTTTAATTGGCAAGAACCCCTTCCTGTGCAAGGCCATGTGCTTGTCTCATTCATATCCTACAGAATCACACGAAATTAATTTTTAATGGTTTTCCAGGCAAGAAATAATTTTTCACCCAAGTGCTGCTCAGCTGAAAGTTTATAAAAAGATTACAGCTTCTGCAAGTGCTAATTAGAGACAATTATAGTTTGATTGACCTGCCTTCATGCTAAAATATCTTGCAGTGTTTGCACTGCCCCTACAAAATGGAGATCTTCCCTTTTTGCACAGGTTTAATGAGACAGTGCATAAATTTGGATGCAGTCGTGAAACGGAAACAAGGCATTTTCATAATGCTCACAGCTGAATATGAATACACACCCAGGAAAGCACCAAGCCAATAGGACAATTTGACACAAGATAAGCTTGTACAGATGAAAAAACATTCAATAAATGAAATTATTAAAATATTTATGGACTGTCTAATGCAAAAAGGGCATCAAATGAAATGGCTTATCATAACTGCACTTAATTTTCTTCTATCAATATTTAAACTCCTTCCATTAACAGAATTTTGTAGAAGCACTGTGTATGAACAATTAACAGCCTCAGGACTTTTCTCAAGAGTTAAACTTCTGCCGCATTTGGAAATATGGTCAAAACCAGTCATCTGTCCTTCTGGACCTGCAGCACGTCTGCTCAGGTGAAACACTGACTTTCACTTAACACGAGAGGTGGAATTAACTGATGACAAGGAAGGCCAGCAAGGATTTGACAAAGAAAAGACAGGGTAGGTAGTGCAGTGGGAAGTAAAACTCTGTGATCTAGCTTGACTTCAGTAAGACTTTTGAGATGTGCCACAAGAGTCTCATACACATGGCAAAGAATATTCATAGTCAACAAATAATATTCTGTACAGCTCTTCTCGCACCTTACAACACAAATACCAAGACACAGGTGTCAGTGGTTTGCTGTTGAACTGAGAGGGCTTGCTGAGTATGCACTGCAGAGCTGGGAACTGTTCTGGCTGTGGTCTGGCACCATTCAGGATCTATCAGCCATTTCATATAGGAAAAATAAAATAAAAAGTAATTTTAAAAAAGAAAAAAAAGGAAGAGTACACCTGAAGATTCTGAAGGGGACTATGACGTCTTTGAGAGTGATGATTATATTGAGTTGCTAAATGGGAAACACCAGAAAATGAAGAATAATTCAATTTCCACAGAGCAGCTGGATTAAGAGAGTGACCATAAGGCTGAGGGAATGGCTGTAGGCCAAATTAGGTATCAATTAAGGAAAAAATGTAACTTACAATTTTCAGCTCTACATCAAACTCAGACATCCACAAGACACAAAAGCGTAGGAAGCCAGGTTTTAGTGGTTCTGACATTTATTAAGCTACATGTTTTCCTTAGCTCAAAATATTACTTTATTATTAAAAAAAAAAAGAAGACATCATTCAAAACACTTAGAGGGGACGGACAGATCTGGATACGCAGCAGGAAAATAAGCAGCTTGATTTCATTCCTATTATATTGGGTTAAGTCAAGAATAAACTCATTGAAATCAGTCACTATGATTATGAAAGCAACGTAACGTGTATTCCAGTTTAATTGGATCATTCAACAGCCTACGAATAAGCACTCCTGGAAACCTAATTTCCATTCAACATATATTTTCATGGACTCTTAAGAAAGGAGTAGGGTGTTTCTTTACCAGTGCCCCATGGCCATATCTCATTTTATATTTATCGTACTTTACAAAATTGTATTCTTATTTAAAAAAAAAATCATATTAAACAACTTGTTCTATGATTTATTATGTTTACAGTATTTGCCTGTTGCTGATCCCGGGGCACCTCAAGGGACATAAAGTCACTCCCTTTCTGTCAATTACAAGTTTTCAGTTGATTTTCTGTTATAAATGGAAGTAATATGTCTCTCCTGAGTTTCCTCGGAGATCTAAGCCTTTGCTTTCCAATGCATTTTTTCCTTATTTGGCAACCACACATGGATAAAGTATTGGAAATTGCAGTTATTACTCAATTTTTATTTGTTTACTACATCTTGGTTGGCTTCTCCTCTTTATTTTGCATTATTTGATTATTATTTACTGTGCAGTCTACAAGCCACATGTTCAGCATGCTCATACTGTTCTAGGGACTTTGTGCACCTAAGTATTCAATTAAAAATAGCTCATAAAATTGCTTGTCATTTTTAAACTTAATTTGTTTTTCACAAAGCGCAACAATTAATTCAGTATCATTGACTATCTGCCATAGTCATTTCCTGCCATCTATGAGTCTTGACAAACACACCTTCACTCCCTATGTAACAAAAGCTTAATATTGCTCAAGGGACATAAAGGGGTAAGCCCCACACATTTAGCAGTTTTTAATTGGGTTCAAAGCTAGACCTTAAACTCGCATACATGCTTTTGAAAAGATTACTTTTATTTGCATTACACATTTCCTCTAAGAGATGCTGCAATACATCAGTGGAAGACCACGGGATGAAACCAGGGCAATTTTATTTCTTGTGAACAGATAACAACAGTTGTAAGAATCCAAACTATAAATTAATTCAGGAAGTCAGCAAAGCCAAAGTTTAGAAAAAAATAAAAAACCAAAAAACCAAACAAAAAACCCCAACAAAACACTAAATGCACAACTTCTGAAGGTCTTCTCTGCTTGCCAATCCCCACCATCTCTTGTTCCTTTTGCTCAGGACCACTACTCCCATACATCTGCTTATTACGTGTCTACAAGCCCTGTAATTCACACCTCAATGAGATTGCTAAAAAAGCTAAAAGTAAATTATGTGAACAATACTGTTCTGAAACAGATTTAAACTTATGTTAAAAACTAATTGGATTTCAATTAGTGAAGCCAATGTTTCCATAAATAATCCTGAAAAGAAAGTACTTGATTTTGAGTGTACCAAACTGACTGAACGATACGTAGAGGTATTGTTTTATTTCTTAAAGCATTTACATTTCAATCATTGACACCCAAATCTATATTATTTCATACAGTTCTCAAGATTTTACAATACTCTGTAAAAGATACACAACGGGAAACTGAAATATCCTGGTATTTTGTGCCTTCAACTGGCATATGGCTTTTAAAAAAAAACTCTTTGCAAGAAAGTAATCAGATGAAATTTAGCAATGACAGAAACTGTAATTAAAGAGACGGCAATTTGTAACAACCAGCTATTTTGAATTATCTACCTTAGAGTTTGGAGTAAAAGTAATGAAAAAGTAACACTGATTTTGAGAGGAAAATGACAGATTCCATAATTAAAAAAGAAACAATTAGTTCATCATTTGGCCCAGTTTCAGCTCAAACCGTGAAGAAATGACAGAAAATAGAGAAAAGCCTTTGCCTTTGTGGATGAGCATCCCTTGGGAAGGAGCAAGCTCTCAGGGCTCAGCCCCAAAGCAATCTGGTACGGTGCTGTGGGGCAGTCACAACAGAAATGTCAATTTGCCATCACCGCAGAAGACAGCTCTGTACTTCTGTCTGCGTAGGAACCCCTAGGAAGGTGCAAACAAATTATTTAAAGGTGGGAAATGAGCCTGTGTGAGGTAAAGTGCATTAAGCTCCCAGAGGATGCTCTTAACCTGGACATAAACTGTCCTTAGTTCACCGCACCCTAATCCTTAGAGGATTACACTGCTATGGGTCAGGGTCACCATACTTGAGGATGCGAGTGTCCTGTGGGTATAACACATTTTGTCTCACACACAGTACCTTCAAACTTCTCATTAACTACTTATTTCTCACTTGGGCAAACTCTGGCCACTTTATTTCTCCAAGTTCCCCGACTGGCGTGCTCCATCCTTCCTTTGGCAAGGCAGCAGTGTCATCTGCAAGACTGTTCTTCGAGCCTGGACTTCAGCCAAGAAGAAAAGGTAATGCTTTCTCTCTGCCATAAAATAAATCGCATGTTTCTCTTGTTTTTCTGGCAAACATTAAAGGTTGTTTTACAAATAAAAATCTTATGCACTGTAGGTGTAAAATTAAGTGTTTATGTACTCCAGTATGGGATTCCCTGACATACACATAAACTAGATATTATAACATCTTTAGCTGTTACTGTCAAAAATGAAAAAACACTTCAGAATTTTATTGGAAACAAACTACACATAATTTCAGGGTTTCAGGTAATATTTTTGAGCACATTAAATGCCCAGAATCTGAAAAACTGTCCTAAGTATGTTCAGTTGGGAAAAACAAAACTTAGACTGTGTATTTCCAAGGGGCATCCTGAATTGTTTGTGTACATGTAATTATAGCACCGATAACGCAGAAGTCTTTTGCTGTCTGCAAAAGCTGCAGT